AAACTTTACACTTTTCACATGTACTGGAATTACAACCATTCACGGAGTGAAACATGTTTCTTTTTATGGATACTGAAGTCTTAGAAAAAAAGGACTGGAATCCCCTTTCAATATACTCAAAGAATATATCCTGGTGCCAATTGGCATCTACAAATGAAATTTTATGGAAATTGGGAGGGTGTGCAAATAAGGGCTACTACCTTTAATGTAAATACTGTAGCTTAAGTAATAGACTTTTGTTTACACTGTATCTAAAATGAAAGACACTACCTACCGTCAGAACCCTGTATCTCTTAACCCGTAAACTGCTGAAGGGGTTTTTTGATTTTGGAAACTTTTCATACACTCCTAAAAAAAAGTTCGGAAATTCAAGTTTGGTCGATGATATCTGTCTTGCTCCTGCATTATTATAATTAAACTTGGTATCATTGGAAAGCCTGTTCATTTCCCTTCACAATGATGTTCCATTTTCAATGATTAATGCACAGGGGTGTACAGTACAGCTGAATATGCAGTACAGCACGAAACAAGAGTCAATATAAAGGAGAAAACACTTTTGACAATAGCAATGCATTTTGCAAGATTTCACTTCGGATCCACCCCCCGAATTTATTACAGAAATCGATGCTGAGATACCCCCTAACCAAACTAAAATGCATATTCATCACAACATAAAACTCTTCTGGTGAGATATTGCGCATGCGCTAAAACAGTAACGTAGCCAGGTTATGTACTGACTGGTATAAGCAGCGGGGACATGCAAGGACTTAGGTCTGCTTCCTATTTCTGAAGTGAGGTCTACTGATGAAATTTTATCATATAAATCTATCTTAGGATGAGTCCTCTTCATTTTAAATTAATAATTTTTGAAAAATATTATTCAGCTCGGGAGATATTGCGCATGCGCGAGCACCGTTTCAGGCGCGCAGTACGGCCTAAAGAAAAATACGTAAATATAGCTTGCTGAGGGAGAGAGGGTGGGAAACTGAGGGAAGGTGGCAGGGAAGACAGTCGAGGGGCGGTGGAAGGGGAAGGAGGCTGAGCGTGCAACAATGGAGACAAAGGGAAGGGCGGGCGGGAATAAAGTAGGAGTTTTGCTCCCTACAGGATAGGGCGCTCTCCTAACTATAAACACAGGTCTAGTGATAAGAATTTATTAGAGAAATCCATGCTGAGATACCCCCTGACCATACTAAATGCATTTTCATCACAAAATAAAACTCCTCTGGTGAGATATTGCGCACGCGCTAAAACAGTAACGTAGCCAGGTTATGTACTACTGACTGGTATATGCAGCGGGGACATGAAAGGTCTGCTTCCTAATTCTGAAGTGAGGTCTACTGATAAAATTTTATCATATAAATCTATGCTAGGATAACCCCTCTTCATTTTAAATTAATAATTTTTAATGCATGCGCGAGCACCGTTTCAGAAGTTCAGTACGGCTAAAGGAAAAGTACGTAAATATAGCTTGCTGAGGAAGAGAGGGGTGGAAAACTGAGGGAAGGTGGCAGGAAAGACAGTCGAGGGGCGGTGGAAAGAGAAAGAGGCTGAGAGTGCAACAATGGAGACAAAGGGAAGGGCGGGCTTGAATAAAGTAGGAGTTTTGCTCCCTACAGGCTAGGGCGCTCTCCTAATTATAAACACAGGTCTACTGATAAGAATTTATTGCAGAAATCGATGATGAGATACCCCCTAACCAAACTAAATGCATTCTCATCTCAAAATAAAACTTCTCTGTTGAGATATTGTGCTTGCGCTAAAATAGTAACGTAGCCATGTTATTTCGTGACTGGTACACGCAGTGGAGACCTTACCTGCAAGGTCTGCTTCCTATTTTTGAAGTGAGGTCTACTTATAAAAATGTATCATATAAATCTATGCTAGGATAACTCCTCTTCATTTGAAATTAATAATTTTTGCAATATTATTGTTCTCGGGAGATATTGCGCATGCGCGAGCACCGTTTCAGGCTTGCAGTATGGCCTAAACAAAAGTACGTAATATAGCTTGCTGAGGGAGAGAGGGGTGGGAGACTGAAGGAAGGCGGTAGGGAAAATAGCTGAGGGGCGGTAGAAGAAGAAGAAGGAGGGTGAGCGTGCGACAAGGAAGACAAGGGAAAGGGCAGGCGGAGATGAAGTAGGAGTTTTGCACCCTATAGGCTAGTGCGCTCTCCTAATTATAAACACAGGCCTAACGATGAGAATTTATTACAGAAATCGATGCTCAGATACCCCCTGACCAAACTACTTGCATTTTCATCACAAAATAAAACTTCTCTGGTGAGAGATTGCGCATGCGCTAAAACAGTAACGTAACCAGGTTATGTACTACTGACTGGTATATGCAGCGAGAACCTTATATGCAAGGTTTGCTTCCTATTTCTCAATTGAGGTCTACTGATGGAACTTTATCATATAAATCTATGCTAGGATGACCCCTCTTCATTTTAAATTCATTGTTCTTGCAAAATATTAATCTTCTCGGGAGATAGTGTGCATGCGCGAGCTATGTTTTAGGCGTGCAGTACAACCTAAATAATAGTACGTAATATATACGATACGTGTAACTACCACAGATATCAATAGCTACTGCATGCAGAGCTAGCGAGCGCGCGCGTACTAGCCTTACATATTACATGTCTACGTTAAATCCATGTGCATGCTTGTAGGATAGAATATGGAGTGACAAGATTCTAGAACTCCAGACTAGCAAATACTTTCAATATCCCCTACCTAGGCCACCTAGCAGCAGTATACGGTCGCGGTTCCTGTATTCAGTTGAGGCTATCAGTCGGGAGTCATTTTTTATACTTTATATATTTTTCATTTAGTGGAGACAAGCACAAAAGGATAATATTATAAAAGAGGCTTATAATTATGCAGAAACACATGTTCAAAAACCTGGGGGGGGGGAACATTTGATATTGTGTCCCCCTCCATTCGAAAAGTGGGGGGACGTGTCCCCATGGCATTTGCGCCCATGCCCGTCGCGCAATACCGTGTGTGTGCGCGCGTGGGTGCGTGTGCGCGAAGGTTCGTGTGCACGTGGGTGCGTGTGTAAGTGCGTGCGAGCACACCTGCGTGAGTTAAATCCATTTTAACCTTATTTATCTAGGCAATTTGAATAGACATATGCGTTTAATTGGCAAAGAAGTTTGGGCATATTTTGACAATATAATTTTTTTTGCTTCTATGGTGATTTTTTACAACACAATCGCTTGGTTATATATTTACAGGTATTAGTGTATTATTAGTTATTCTCTATATGCGAATACATATATCCATAACATACAACCAAAAGTACGTAAATTTTCAGAAAGTGATTTATTACAAAAATATTGAAAATAAGTGATCCATGCTTTTATAGCGTAAATGTTTAATAATACAGACACATAAATGCATAATTTTCCTGAGAAATAGTGACCTATCAAAACATATAGTCAGTGTATTATTACAATGAACTTCAAAAAACAAGAAATTTGTGAGTGCTTCATATTTCACCATCTTCCAAACAAATAACGGGGGAAACTCTCAGTCTACTTTTTCCCTTCTAGATGGCACCACGTGTATGCATTGCGGAACATGCGCAGCCAAGGAGACGTCTGCATCGACGTTCTCCAATCCTGTGGCATCCACGCCCACTGCCATGGCAACACGCACCTCTCTGGGTGAGGCATCATAGCAAGATGGCGGCCGTCATGGGAACACACACCTGCGATGCCATCTGGAGAGCCGTTTGGGTTGTCTGGGTAATCCTCGGTGGCACAGCCCACTGCGTCTGTGTATTGCAAGCAGACGAGTTTCTCGCTCTTAACACGAGACAGCGTCTCCTCATTCTTGAATCGCATGCGACCTGAAGCAAACATGCAGCACAATGCTGAAACAATCACGTACTTCAAGAACATGTGTCGCACGTAACAACAAAGCAAGAACACGCATATATACAGCACGAATCTTCTTCTACTGATCTACATTGGGGTCCTCTTGAGCACGTAGTGATCAGCTAGACTGGAATCAAGGTCAATGATCCCAAATAAGTGGCGAGGGTCAGTAATCCGATAAATAGCTATTATGCAACTTGCTGAATCATTTTATCAAAAATACTAAATACTTCGATGGAAAAGTTGATTTTGGCTGTTACTTTTCCAGAGGAAATGTAGTGATTTTTTTATGAATGTTTCGATGCCTGGCAGACAGCTTACCTTCTGCGTGCGCGACCCACACGCCCAGAACAGATCCCTCCATGCCTGCAAGCATCATGGCCGCAGATGCACCGACCCTCACCGTGCTGAAGCGAGACTCAAACCTGCCGGACTCGTTCCGTTCCAGCAGCAGGCCAGGCGGCTGTGCCTCACCATGACTCCCCTCGCCTAGTGAATAGTGAATGATATCCTCGTGAATCAGCCGGTGTGTGTGCGCGTGCCAACAGTATACATATATATACACACAAATGCACTGTGCATTTCAATGCATTTTGCAAGAACGCACGCACACATTTACGCAAGTACACATATGCATGTACACACGCCCGTGCCCGTTGATTTGAATTTAAGAGTGTACCTCAGACAAGAATATAAATACATTGCATACTATATGGAACATTTACGAGGCCGCATGACACTCACAAGTCCGATTTCCATATCTAGGTTCAAAGCATACAATTATCTCTAGCCTCATCTATTTAGCAGTACTTTGACAACGACTCACTAGGTGGAGCTGAGGGTATGACCCAGCCAAGCAGTGCCATCAGCTGACAGCCGTTGCAGACGCCGAGGCTGAAGGTGTCATGGCGCGCTCGGAACGCGGCAAACTGTGCTCGAGCAACATCATTGAACAGCACCGCAGCCGCCCAGCCTGCAGAGAGACAGAGCACAACAGTTTGTGAGACTATGAATCTATGCAGTAGTGGACAGCATGTCTCCATAGTGGCTCTTTGCAATTTACAAGTTATTAGCAATAACTTAAAGGAGCTAATTATTGCTCATAGCTAGGGTCTATGTCCCCCAAGGTACTGCCGGAACGTACCCTGGTAACTATCTGATATGGTTAGAGTTAGGGTTAGGGTTAGGGAGTAGGCATAGGCGACTCCCTAGACTCGTTAGTGGAGTAGGCGAGATACGGTCCGGCATATTAGATAATACCAGCAGAGCATATAAATCACGTTGATTCCAGTATACTGGACCGTACCCAGGGTACGTTCCGGCAGTACCCTGGGGGACATAGACCCTCTCAGCCTAATTATTCAGTGAAAGCGTCATGCGTTACCTATAGATGACCCATCACTTAGCCAATCCCAGTCACATCTAGTTCACCCCAATCACATCTAGTTCACCCCAGTCACCTTTAGCCAACCTCAGTCACCTCTAGCCAACCCCAATCACCTCTAGCTGACCTCAGTCACCTCTAGCCGACCCCAGTCACCTTTAGCCGACCTCAGTCACCTCTAGCCGACCTCAGTCACCTTTAGCTGACCCCGATCACCTCTAGCTGACCTCAGTCACCTCTAGCCGACCCCAGTCACCTTTAGCCGACCTCAGTCACCTCTAGTTCACCCCAATCACATCTAGTTGACCCCAGTCACCTTTAGCCAACCTCAGTCACCTCTGGCTGACCTCAGTGACTTCTAGCTGACCTCAGTCACCACTAGCTGACCCCGATCACCTCTAGCTGACCTCAGTCACCACTAGCTGACCCCGATCACCTCTAGCTGACCTCAGTCACCACTAGCTGACCCCAGTCACTTTTAGCCGACCCCAGTCACCTTTAGCCGATCCCAGTAACCTTTAGCCGACCCCAGTCACCTTTAGCCGACCCCAGCACGTCGGCATAGCTGAACCCTCCTACGAACGCGATACCGGTGAATCTGTCAAGTGTGACGGCTCCTGCACATATGTCCTGCATTGTGACGTCCCATGCAGTGAACCCTGCTGCCACCATCGCCGCCGCCATCTCACGGTCGCCGTTACTGCCCTCCTCGCGCACGATCGCAACCAGGGGGCACCCGTCATCTGAAGCTAGTGCACGATGGCATGCGAGTGAGATGTGATTTGTGGAATTTTCTAGTGAATATAATGCACACGTACATTTACCTGCAACAACGTAAAGGATGACCTAAGGGTCAAATGTAAGCTAGTATGCAATTGAGAACAGAATTCCCGAGCGCACCTGCAACCCCACGTGGGATGAGCTCTGGGTCAAAGGTCAACATGTACTGTGGCACCCCCTTGCAGCGCAGCGCCGCTCGCTCACGGTCGACACATGTCGGGTTGGTCTGAAGACGCTCCAGCTGAAAACTTGTCTCCTCCCACAGATCCCGGAGACTAGCTGTCGTTTCCATGATAACGAGCTCCCCATTCACGCAAATCTGTGTAAAGAACAGATGTAATAACGTCCGTCATTCCAGTCCAGCAGCCGTCATCGTAATGCCACCTACAACACATGTATATAGTCAAACCTGCATAAAGGAGTCACTCGGAGGAAATAACAAAATCATTGTTTATTGACAGGTGGCCATTTTGTAAATGTGGTCTCACCATATAACTGCTACTCAAATGGAACACCCGTAAAGTGTCCTTTATAGACAGGTGTCCCTTCTATAGAGACGTCTGCTTTCACAGCTTTGCCTGTATACACACACATTGACGTGCACGCACACATGCACGTACACACGCACGCACTCAAGCACTTACACACGCAGGCACTCACGCACGTACACACATGCATGCACGCTCGCACACATGCACATATATAATAACACGATATCGTGCACAATTTTAGGCTAACATACATTTCTCTGCCACTACCTTGCACATGCTGGGATTCTCAGTGGAGTTGCATGAGCCAACCACAGAGCAGGACACATCGCCATACGCCTCCATCACTCTGCTCACGTCCAATTCATCAACTTCGAGCACAATTCCAAGCTCTTCAGCGAACAGCGTGGCCATCGTATCGGTGCTGCCCTCTAGCAGCACGTTGATCGTGCAGTTACCGGCAAATGCCATCTCAAGCAGACAAGTGACTATTCCTCCATCGCTCACATCGTGTCCCGACACAATAACGCCATCTGTCACAAAACACCGTAATTATACCACACTGCTCGATGACTGTGCAACACAATTCTCAGGTCTTCTAAGCATCTCCTCGCTGGACTTTCTAGTACACGGTCTCTGTGATCGTGACATGGTATTCAGTAGTGAGAGGTGAAGTTAGAATACCTGCAATGAGGGCTTGTGTGGCCTTAAACGCTTGAGCGAACTCATGAGGCAAATCCATATCCGGCGATTCGTCTCCTATCTGACCATAGCACTGAGCAAGGGCGCTGCCTCCAAGCCGGTTACCACGGCAACCAAACCGAACATGCAGCAGTGTACCTAAAACAATTTGTGAGATGATGACACCGTATATCGTGTAAAATACCACCACAGGTGTTGATTAATGTATGTTTCAGTGTCACGGTTACTGCAGCGAATAAATCGCCGTGTTGCTGAAGGAGTGGACTCACTATTTCCTCCTGGGCATTTGAGGTCAGGTGTGACTGTAGCACAGATGTCCGGGCAAGCTGCATATACCGACACAACCAACGAGCCTAAAAATGTTACAAATGACATGTAGCATATACCGACACAACTAATGAGTGGCATAGCATCCCTATACCATAATGCTAATATATGAATGCATGCTCTTGTAAGCTAGCTCTAATAGTAGATGCACAAGTATGCGTACAAGGTGGCACAGGTAAGTAAGTAGGTAGGAAGGTAGGTGGGTATGGGTAGGCAGGCAGGGAGGTAGGTAGGTAGGTAAGTAGGTATTATATGTATAGGTATAGGTATAGGTATAGGTATAGGTGTAGATATAGGTATAGGTACAGATACAGGCACAGGTATAAGTATATGTATATAGGTATAGAAATTGTACAGGTATAGACATAGCTATAGCCTGCATATATTACCTGGAGCCTTCACTGTCTCATTGCCCACCCTGGCAGCCATACTCAGTGAATCTTTCCCGCCATCGATGGCAACTCCTAACTGTCTCATAGTCGTGCACAGAGCGCTGCAAGCATCGTAGAGGGCAGCACCTTCCCCTGGTAGCTTGGCAGCCCACATCCAGTTACCACTACACTTGACATCCTGTGTGCAGCAGTCAATCATCATACAACACTCTTCTACTTATATATTACTTATTATATCATCTATTATTGTATTATCTACTTATATATTACTATATTACATCCAAGAAAATCCTAGCTTCAATGATGAATCACTGGTGCTCGGCTAAACTTCCTTAAATTTTTGTAATGTTGGGTCAACTTGATATTTGAGACGCCTAACTTAGAATTATTAAACATCAATAAAACGTTATTAAAAATTAACAAAATCAGATTTCACTGCGCCAGTAGCTCGAAAGCCGAGACCGTTTGACCGAGTCTACGCTTACCTCGAGCGCCGTGACGCGGGCGAACACGAGGTTGGTGAGCGCCTCGCCGAGCGCCATGCGAGCCCCGCACTGATTGCTCACGAGCCCCTTGATTGGCTGCTCGCCGACGGCGGTGGCGGCGCCGCGCGACCCGCGGTAGGCGAGCGCGACGACGGCGACGTCGGCCAGCGGCGTGTGCAGCGGGCCGACGCACTGCTGCTGCGCGACGAGCCCCCCCACAGAGCGGTCGACCTTATTAGTCAGGTAGCGCTTGCTCGCCACAGCCGGCAGCCGCAGCACCCGCCGCAGTGCTGCCATCACGGTGGCGCCCTCTGGCAGGTGGAGGGGTTGCAGCCGCGACACGACGCGCTCCAGGTGGAAGGTCTTCCTCGGCATGCGTCCAAGAACGAGTGACAGGTCGAGCTCGACCGGCCGGAGGACAGAGCCGGACAGAAAGCGGTCGGACGAGGGAGTGATAGAGTTGAGGTGACCATTGACGGCTTGACCATTGACGGCCTGACCGTTGATGGCTTGACTGTTCGCTGGGTCGCCGGTGGACGGTGCGAGGGCGGGACGTGGGGCGGAGTCGCCGGTGGACGGTGCGAGGGCGGGACGTGGGGCGGAGTCGCCGGTGATGTCGCGGTGGGA